GGAAGCCATACTGCTTCAATAAAGTTTTTATTGTGTAAATACAAAACATTGTTTTTAATTATTTATTATTATTTAAAACTCCAGCTATGTTGATTTCAGAAAACCTCAAAAAAACCTTTATAATAGTCAATAGTCAAATCAAATAAAAATATTGATGTGTAATGTTTTTTTGATAGTATATGGTAGTGTAAGGATGTCTGGTCATTTTTGTTAATTTCTGAAAAAAAAATGGAGGGGTAGGACCCCTAGATTCATAAACTTTTAAATGGACAGAAAGGAGTTTATTAGCTCATCAAATAAAAATATTGATGTGTAATGTTTTTTTGATAGTATATGGTAGTGTAAGGATGTCTGGTCATTTTTGTTAATTTCTGAGAAAAAAAAATGGAGGGGGTAGGACCCCTAGATTCATAAAATTTTAAATGGACAGAAAGGAGTTTATTAGCTCATCAAGGATATCCCTTTCAGCTCCTGACTATAACCACCCCTTACTACTCGTATTTATCCAATCTTTTCTTGAACTCGGGAAAATTTTCTGCCTCCACCACCCTTGAAGGTAGTTCATTCCAAAAGCCAACCACTGTTTAAAAGTAATATTATCTAAACTGCAGACAACTCCTACTCTGCCAAAATATGTATTTATGACCTCTTGTCCTATTGTTTTCACTGCTAAATACAAAATGTTTGATGGATTTTATATTATCAGTACCCTTAGTAATCTAAAACACCTCAATTAAATTCTCTCTGATCCTTCTCCTCCCCAGAGAAAACAAGTTTAGAGATTTTAGTCTCTCCTCATTGGACAATCCAACCATCCCTGGTATCGTCCTGATGGCTCTTCTCTGAATGTTCTCTAACAATTCAATCTACTTCTTGAGAAATGGAGCCCAAAACTGTACATAGTACTCTAAATGAGGCCTTACAAGTGATCTATACAGTGAAACAATAATATCCCTTATTTTGTATTCAATATTTCTATAGATGCTACCCAAAATCCTATTAGCCCTATTGCTATTAGCCCTACAATACACTGTTTAGATGACTTAATTGATTTTTTGATCACAACACCAAGATCTTTTTCTTCAGCCACAGTATTTAATGTATTCCCATTTAAATTGTAATGTGTGGAGAGTGTCTTTTCTCATCAGTTGGATTTCTGCACAGACTGTGGATGACCATGATTAACATTTCAAACACTTTTTTACATATTCCGAATGTCTCGTCCTCCAGATCTTTTCTTTGTTTTATACATAGAAATAGGGTCTTCCAATTCTATTCAATCCCTTTTGGCTGTATCTTCACATTCATTATTTCCTTGACTCATTGGAACATTCACCCACCTAATTTTCAGTTTTGAGCTGGACTTCCTATTTTGCTTGGATAATTAGCTTCTCCTACATTTGGTACGTCTGGACATATTTTTAAGCTATCATTTCAGATGGGTTCAGCCCTTAATGCTTTGCTTCTCATTTCAGATGGGTTCAGCCCTTAATGCTTTGCTTATGAGCAATGGAATGTATTGTCCTTTTGGGGTGTCTTTCGCCTTTCTCATCCTGTACACAAGGTTCTTTTACTTTTGGAAATTTTAACTTTCCTTTTTCTACACATTCGTTTGCAAAATACTCACATGTGCCTCTTCCAGTCATAGCTGGAGAACTGGTGGTACCTTTTTTGGGATTCATTGTCATTGATTTTACACCTTCTTTCTCCTCTTCTCAAAGTTTTGTTGTGGCAGCTCACCCAGACCGTACCAATCCATGTACTATCGTGGAAAAAGTGGGCACCAGAGAAGTTACTGTCCACTTCTTTGCCCTGAGCATGCCAGTTTTTAAATATAGGGTTTTGTGATCACCCATTTCACTGTCTCCAGTAAAAGACCTTTACAGGCAGATCAATGGGGAACCAGGCTTCCCCAATGTGAATTCCCCCCCCCCTCTTCAAATGGATCACAGGAGACCCTTGCTACTTACCAGTTTCTAACTGCTGGGGTGGAAGTCCTTGAAGAACTCCTCAGTGGTTGGGCTTAGCACAGTATGGTGAGAAGTCAGGCAATGGTGACTGTCCGTGTAGTAAAGATCACTCCTTAAACAGCTCGTGTGTCCTCTTCCTGCAGCCAGAGTCTGTCCAGTAGAGTTCAGGTGAGCAAACACCATATGGTCTGATCGCATCCTAACCACACAACATATATTAGTTCTCTGACCTCTTATGTGCAGGCACTTAGTTGAACATGTTCAAATTTCGCACATTCCTGTGGCTCTTTTGCCTCCCCCCCTCCCCCCATTTTACATTCTGAGTGAAGATTATATCCTGGTTGAGACAAGATGTGGTCTCCCACTTCATGGACTTTCTCTTCAAACAGTTTCTGAAGGGTGCTCATCTAGATTTATATTTTGTACCAACCCCCCCTGCCAATTCAGCATGGGATTCTAGCTATTTTGTGTGAATGGGTGAGATAGTGTCTCAGAAGTTAACATTTTCCTAATTTAAACTGTATTTCTGATAGATACCTCCGTGCACATTCCCACCTGTCATCCTCACTTCCAGTGTACCTTTTTTCTTGAAGTTGTCTCCAGTCCAGGTGCTCAGGGGGAATTAGTCTGCATAGTTTGTGTCACCATCTATTGATGGAGGGCTATTTTCAGATAATGATGTCATCATGCACCAGCACGGTTCACTTTAAACATGTGAATTTAGGAGGGAGTTACCTCAAGTCTAGTGGCATGCAAATATCTTAGGCAGACGAAAGGAATATAGCTGTTCTGTTTGCAGAGGTATCTATTGAAAATATATTTTCAGATTGGGAAAATGTTAACTTTCATAACTGCAATAATTCATCATATATTTGTAAGGATATTGAAGATATCCAAAATTGGATGCAACCACGTGATTTTGCTGTTGTAGACCATAGTTTTGAGAGGATTTGTATGTGACTTTGGGTTTAAAACACAGATGCTATGTTTCCTCCTGCAAGGATGCAGGCTACGCCCAAATGAAAACTCAGTTCTATAATTATTGGTTACCAGAGTTTGCTTGGTGGTTGACACAGTCAGTGGCTGCATTAAGCAGTAGAAGTTACTAGATATGGTCTTCACTAACCATCATGATCCTTTCATAGGTAATTACTTCTGAAGTTTTAATGTTCTTTCTAGTAGTTAGCATCTTACTCTTGTGAAAAATACTGCTGTAAGAGTGTGCGTGATGCAGTGGGTAGAAAGGTTGTTAACATTTTGATGTAGAAATATAGAGAATGATACAGATACGAATCAACAAACCATTTAATTAAGGAGAAATCAGTTAATTATTCAGTTTAGTATCAGTTAATGAGTGAAACAGTGAGAGTTAATGCATCTGTTTGTGCAAGTAAGTTTATTACAGTTAAACAGGTAGGTTAGGTTGCTATGTGTTTTTATTAGACATTCTTGTAATGAGGAAAATGACCTCAAGAGAACAGTATTCATTTCTATAGGCCTGTGGTGACATAGCAACTGTTATTTCTGTCAAATATTATATTAAATGTTCTGTATAATTCAATTAAAATTGTAGAAATCCACATGTAGGCATTTTGCCTATCTTTTACTACTTGGCCCTTTCCACACCCTTAATTCACCACTTATAAACTTATAATGTTATTCTACAACCTAACGTCAAACCTTTTTTAAAAACTTTGATTAGTTTTTAATATTCTGTTGTAAAAAATGGTTAGTAAAGTATATTTACATTCCCCATTTTGTTGTTACTTCTTGTTTCATACAGCAATCGTAGCGACTTGATCACTGAGCTTTGCAGCTCTCTGCTGCAGGCAGACTGTTTGTTATCAAGTGAATAATGTGCATGTGTGGTTTTTCTTAGGGAAACATTGTAACTACACATGCTTATACAGCAGGTTCTTGGTCAGAAAGTTTAACGGTCATACATACAAACAAGCAGAATAATAGTATAGATGAGGAATATTTTTTGATTTTTATGTTGACACACTTGGCTAATGAATATAGGTAATGTTTGGTTTATATTAAAAAGATGTTGGTTTTAATTTTTTGTTTTAGGTTGTTTTTAAATATCACATGATTAAATTGATTGATTAAATGTAGTTGGATGTGATGGTTTTTGTTAACAATTTAGCTTATCCTCAAGATTATGTTTTCCTCCTTAGAACGACCCAACCAGCAACTTACCAGACTAATCAGACTGCAACACCTGCAGCAGGATATACTGTTCAACATCCAGCAGCTGCAGCTGCTGCTCAGCCTTATGCAGGTGCAGCTGCGGCTGTTGCAGTAGCAGCAGCATCTCGTACAATCCAAACTGGGTATGAGACGTACCAACCTACAACAGGTCAGACCACTACAACCTATCCATTTGCATCTCGGCAACAGGTAAGAATTGTAGATCTCAAATTGCAGTGCTCCTTTTTTGAGTACTAATCTAAAGAAACATCAAGGTCTTGTAATATTGTAATGAATAAAACTGATAAATTAATAATTTTCTTTCAGTTTTAGTGAGACTTATTATAAGTATATCTGTTGTTGGTTTATTTCCCTCTTACTTAATGTGAGATCTGAATGTGAATATCATGTTTATTTTAGCACTGTTATCATAATGATAACACCTCATCACATTAGATTAGAAAGTGCATTAAAACACACTTGGAATATGGCACACTAATAGAAAATTTATTTTTTATGTTATTAATTCTGTGAAATATTGTTAAAGTACTCTGCTAAGATTCATATTTGTATTCCAGTTACAGAATTGTAAATAATGTAAATGTCGTAACTTCAGGTGTCTTCTTATTTCAGAGTGCTTATGAAAAAGTTCAGGCATATTATCCACAGGCAGCACAAGTTGGATATTCTACAACTGACACTGCTACAGCAGCATATCAGTCAGGTGAGTTGGTTGATTAATGGCATGATGAGTACACTGGAATGGATGGCAATTGCCTGTTGTAGAAAAAACACAAGTGTAGAAGGTGACATTTTGAAAGTGTTAGATGGAAGACTTTCAAAATATTGTCCACTACAACAGTCAGTTGCCATCAGTTCCAGTGCACTCATCAATTTAATGATTTAGCAGTAAGCCTGAGAGTTTGTAATAAATGCTAAAAATCTGGTTTTGATACTTTTAGTGCGCATGGCAAAGGTGGCCCATGGTATAGGTTTGTGCTTAACAACAAACAAAACATGAAACTTCAAATGTAGGAATAACCCATTGCAAATTTTTTATCTAAATAACACAATCTGTGTGTTTCAAAAACACATCAGAATCCACAAAAACTTCACTGAGCCTCTAATATGCAGCATCATATAACAGTATCTGTAAGCTTGGAAAAGATCATTCTTATTAGTCAGGAGACCCAGTTTAAAAGACAGCACTGAGCTTATCTGAAAGCTGCATTGATCCTTTTAAGCTTTTCATAATTTGTGTTTGTGGATGTACAGAAATGTTGGCTAATGCTGATTTCAGGAAACACTGATAGAGACTTCATGACTGAATTCCAATTGTGGTTCTCGGGGTATAGAAACTATCCAAAAATGTCAAGTAATATTTTGACCTTTAATTGACAGTGTTAATAGTATTTAAATTAGTAGGATATGGGCTATGTTGAATGTATATTGTTGCTTATCTTATTTCTGGATACACCTATGTACCATGATATTAAAAAAAAGGAGGTGAGTGAATGCTCATTTCCAGTTATATTTTTCAAATTTTAATTTTCTAAGATGTCCTGTATTGGTTAAATCATCAAAAAGTATGAGTAATTATAAAACTTACCATGATCTTTACCTTTTTTTTACTTTTACCTAGGTATAACTTCAAATATTGTTTATGGATACAGCAGTAGTGCTGCTCAGTTAGCAGGAGTCAAGAGTAAAACAACTGTCACTAAATATCCTCATGCTGGAAACAGTGTTGTACAATCAGTAGTGGGTGAGTATAAAAGAACTGTCACTAAATATCCTCATGTTAGAAACAATGTTATACAATCTGTAGTGGGTGAGTATAAAACAACTGTCACTAAATATCCTCATGTTAGAAACAATGTTGTACAATCTGTAGTGGGTGAGTATAAAACAACTGTCACTAAATATCCTCATGCTAGAAACAATGTTGTACAATCAGTAGTGGGTGAGTATAAAACAATTGTCACTAAATATCCTCATGCTAGAAACAATGTTGTACAATCA